CAATCAGTAAAATTACAGATCAGACGACTACTAGTTTATTGGTATCCTAAGATCTAAGACAGCGAAAACATGTCGTTAGTGAGTTGAGACACCGACACATCGTATCGGTTAAACACAAAATATATGTACAGTTTTTGTTTGCATCATAAATATGTTTGTTCCCAAATGTTTTCACAATGATTCTTCTTAGCGTCTACGAGACTTTTCTCTTTTTTGTCAATACACTGGATAGTCTGTATGTGTTGTCATAAATAATACTCTGTTAGACTAGCATTGAATTATGTCCATCTTATCACCTCAAAATGTGTATATTGTACAATCTTATACCGTAGTGACTTTCAGTCATGTATAAGAAAAAAAGTATGACCTTACTTACATTCTCAGGGGTACTCTACAAGATTTCTGATACGAGCCTCTCATTTGGGATACAACTTTCATTAAAACTTTAAAAATAAATATATACCGTTTAAGCCATTTACATCTTTATGCTTGTGGGGTTATCTAATTTAGGGAATTTTGTGTTGGATGACAGATTTTTTTTATAGTTTCTGTTTTTATTAATATTTTAGACTAGACAAACATTTTAGCTTGACATATGTTATGACACTTGTCTATGGTTGAAGACCGTGTGTTAACTAACCACTTTATTTCTCTTGTTTCTGCCGTTGGACTGCTGTTTAATTAACGTAAACCTACATCTTATTTTCATAATAGTTTGTAATTAAACAAGTCACATATGATAAAGGAGCGAAATTATTACGATAGAAAATAAATTAAAAAACAACACGTGCTCCATGATTCTGTATTGATTATTGGCAATCATACCATATCTCCTTATTTTTATATGGCGGACAGTACCAAAACACAACCACTGAATTACTGGCTCCGGACGACTTGGGACAGTCACATACAGAATTTGCTGGATTAAACATGTTGAGGAGCCTCCCCTAACCTGGAACAGTTGTGTGAAGCAGCACAACATACAAACAAATTTTGAAAATACAATTGGAAATGGAACTACTCATCAGATCTGCACGAATTACCAGAACACTAACGAAAGGACAAAAGATACTAAGTACCGATCTAAGTGTCCTTGCAGTTACTAAAAATAAAAGATAACTTTTTTAAGATAATTTTAAGCGTCCGAAGCGCTTCATCACAAACGCTCAATGTCAAACATTTAAAGCCATTGATGTATAAGTACTGAAACACTTGATGAGCTATATGACAAAAATGAACCTAAATTGATACAAGGTCCAACTTTGCCTGAGGGAGTTGGAACCTTAGTTTTTTAATAATTTTAAATGTATTAACGGAGATTTCAAGAAAAGTATATTGTAAATCATGTTCGTACCGAAAGCTAATTCAAAGCCAATTACAACTAATAAATAAATCTTAATCAATCAATCAGATCATATCGACCAGATTTAGTGTAAAACAGAGAAAAGCATGACCTAAGGCAATGCCAAAATATAAGCACAGAAAGGAAGGAGGATCATAAGTGTTCAAAGCTACACGACTATTCATATTTAGTAATGTTCTAATTCATTAATGACAAAACCAATGTGAGTACCGATTAAAACAATATTCAATACTCTTACTGCAGTTTTAACTTGATGACCTTTAAGAATACGTATATTCAATTAAGTTAGAAGTTTACATGGATCGTATCTAAATTTATGGTCTCTATAAACAACATCAATGTAAAAAATAGGATGATATATCCCGTTTTTAATAAGGTTTCTACAGGTACAACCAAACGTTTAAGCCAGATCATTGTATCCATATACGAATTTGGTAAATTTTTTAAGAAATTTGTGATAACGGAAGTCCTGTATTAATCATTTACTAGTTATACATATGACGATCACTGAAATCTAAAAGACACGGGAATAGCTAACGAGTTGGGGGAATATACACATCGTAAGGAGGGGCCATTGGAAAAATTCCCATTTAAAAAGGAAAATTAACAATAGGGAAAACAAAATCGTCTCTTTTGTCGTAAATCTTCGTATACATTTTTCTTTGTGAAACTAATATATCCAAATTTAGAAAAGGACAATTCTCATTATAATTGCTGCTTATATTTGAGCACGCAATGAGATTTGAATTTTTCTGCCTATAGGAATGCTGTTATATTTGAACTTGAACTTCAGACCCGAACAATCTCTTCCTGTTTGACAATACTTTGAATAGTAGTACCCACTTTATATGGAATTTTTCGACAATGTGTAATAAGAGCAAGTAGTGGTATTCTTTGCACGACATCCCGTGCAACTCCGTGTTTGTTTTTGTTGGTTTTTTTTTCCATTTATTTATTTACATTTTCTCAATACTCAATGCCAGCTCTTTGATACAGTGGTATTTCGAACTGAATAAAGATAATGGAATGAAAAACTTATGGCAAAAAAAATAAAATGAAACGACAAACCATGATTTAATGGTGGACAGTAGAAGTTGATTTACATACATGAGATTAATGACATACTTGTTTATTTAAATTTTGAATTTGAAATTGTTCATGATTGACGGTTGATTCTTTTTTTCTCTACACATATTATATCATCTCTTCAATCAATAAAAAAATGCTTACGTAAAAAGGTCTATATGAAAATGATTTTTTTTTTACATTATAGAACTCTCATACCCAATTCCCCAGTTATTGATTCCTTAATGCTTATTAAGATTTTCTAAAATAGAAATCGTTGTGCAATTTCTAGATATATAACAGTACTATACAGTTCATGTGTACTTTGTAACACATCAGCAGGATCTTCAGTACACTTTCGACACAGACAAAAAATAGATCGGGGTCACTTTTACAATATGTCAATTCTCAGACATCTCTAACCAGGAAATAAAGTGACATAATCATTGGTCAGATTTCATCCAATCATATCAAAATACAAAATCTGTTGAGAGAAAGACAGACTTCGAAGCAAGACATCAATGTCCTTTGTCACGTTTGAGATTAAGATGTACAATTTTAGAACGTTGATAATGCATGCTATGAAACAATGCAAACGAAAGGCGACAATGTAAATCTGAGATATCATTTTACAATCATATGACATGTGACGATTGGTTTAATTTCTTGACACTGCTTTGCATCAGATATTATAATGTGTGGGCATTATTATATTAAAAAAAATAGAAAATTCGGTTAGCTTATTTTGACAGTCAGACGACATCTGTTATTATTACATATACTCTCAAAAAAAGAAAATATCTTTATAATTAGTCTGCGTCCAAAGCACCTTTCTGGATTTACCTGCATCAGGAAAGCTCATATACTCCTAAGTGACTTGAAAGTAACGATGGTTAACAAATGGTTAAAGCAAAAATCGTGAAAACTAAAGATTCTGTTCAGTACATGAGTTTCACTAGTGTTTTTTTTTTTAATTATTATTTCAACTCAGTAAATAAAAACCAGAGGCCTGTAAGAGCATGTGTCGCTAACCTAGATATCTATAACATTGAAGACTAGAATATGATATAGACTAAAGTCTTTTTTTATTGATCTTGTTATACTGATCATATTTTTTCTTTTTTTATTTTCTCTCTATCTACTATTGTTTTGGTCCAACACGTTAAAAGGGCAAAGATCGCAATTTAACGGCAATAACTTATATAAGGAGTAAACTGACAATGTGGCCGTGTTAATATACTTGCATAGTTTCTGTTGCAGATCTTGTTATTCTGATCATATCTGTTTTTTAGTTTTTCTTGATCTACAATAGTTTTGGCCAAAATCCAAAAATGGGGAAAAACATCATTAAAAGTTTGACCGATGATTTCTGCCGTGTTGACAGATTTGTAGACGTTTTACATGTACTTCTGATCTTTTCTGCTGTTTACAAATTTTCTTTTCCTACTTTAACGCTGGCCAAAAATGCGAACAAATGGTAAAAATCGTCGTTCAGGGACAACATCTTATGCAACGCAATGTACGATTTTGACAATATGACAAATTGGTAAATCTTGTCCTGTTGAAAATATTTCTATCAAAAGTTTCTCTTTGTCTGTTTTGGTTTGTCAAGATCATAAGCAAACACACACAACATGTTAATAATCGTCATTTTGGGGCCATCGCTATCTCTTTTAAGGAGCTGACTGACGATTTCGATTAAAATACTTTTTGTTATCTTGTCTTGCTGATAACTTTTGCTATATTGAGTCACTCTCTATCTATTATAGTTTTCAAGACAATAGCCAAAAATGAAAAATCTTAAATAATTCGTTATTTAAGGACAATAACTCCAATTAGGAGTCGTCTGACAGTTTTGGTGTAAAAAAGAAAGTAGGTAGATCTTGACGTTCTGAACACTTTTGTCCCTGTCAGATTTTCCTTTATGTCTATAGCCGTTTTTAAGTTTGTGGATATTACTTGCATGTTACCCCTATGATCTATTGTTAGTCCTGTTAAGGAGCAGGTTGGAAAATCGGTAACATTTTTTAACTGGATACCTCAATGATGATCGTGGGTAACTTTGGTTCCCCAATGGTCAAGCAGTTTCAGAAGAGATCGTTTTGTAAAAGTTAACGGAAGACGACGGACTAAGGACGCCAAGTGATGAGAATAGCTCATACGACAGATTGGGTCAGGAAAGGACAACATGGGTAACCGGTTCAAACTTTGAATTTGAAAAACAAGATGTGAGGTATACGTGAGTTAGGTGGCAACCACACGAAACAAATAATCAAAAGTCGTTTAGTAATTGTCTAAACAATGGGTCAAGCTAAAAATCAGACCCCGAGTTTACATTAAAGTTATGAAAACACTTAACAAAGATAGTCAAAGATCTGCCATTAATATCAAATTCTCCAAATCACAAATCGGTAGTTTTATTTTGTTAAACCTTTTTTATCCTAAAACCATCGCTTAAGTGGGACTTCTGTTTGGCTATGTGGGATTTATAAATACGCATCCACGTTCGGTCGTTACGGGGACCTTAATCCAACACCTCTATTTGGAGTACGCTGGACTAAATCCAACACCTCTATTTGGAGTACGCTGGACTAAATCCAACACTTCTATTTGGAGTACGCTGGACTAAATCCAACACCTCTATTTGGAGTACGCTGCCCTCAATCCAATTACATACCTTCATCTTCGAGTGACAGTCCTGCATCAACGTACTTTCATCCATGTCGACCTATATCACAGACCCTACCAATTGTATTGTGAACAACAAATCTAATTTGATTGTTGTTTGATTAAACGTCCAGTTGCAAATATTTAAAGAATATTTGTTGACGATACAAAGTTAATGATTAATACACAAGGCAGGTTCTACTAGATTGGTCGACCGAGATGATGGGCCGGAAATTTGGACTGTCATTTGAAAATGGGGTTATGTTATACAACAGGTCACATATGGACCCCTCAAAAAGTTTTTCCAAGCCGGCTTCTTTAACGTGTATAGAACGTACGCATTTGCCCTACACGAGGCATCGGATTAATGTCACCATTCCAACCTGACGTACCTGCGTATTTATATGTTCTGCACAGCCAAACGGAAGCCACAATTTAGCAAAGGTTTCACTGCCGGACGGAAGAAGTCCTGGAATCATTTTCATATACTCAGTACTCCCAGTCAACCCTTGGGGTTATACAGACATAAATATTTTTAGTGTAGAGAATAGGTTCTCTGTAAGGATGTTGAATGGAACAGAGGTCAAATATTTAAAAAAAAAAGGCACACACAAAAAAGATAATATAACTTTTCAGCAAGGCAACCTTATTGGATTTTAATATAACCGATGAGTAAATAACTTTTTATTTATTTCATTATTAATTTTCTACCATTATTTGGTATGATTGCCAATAAGACAACTCGCCACCAGAGACCAAATGACGTAGAATGTTAGCAGTTAAGCATGTCACGTCTGTGTTATTAAGTAGTGGTGGAATCAGGAGACAAACATTCGACTGAATACCCGTCGATCATGATGCAAAACTAAGAAAAACCTATCCACTGAAAGAAATATTCATTCGAACACTATCTTTCCAAATTATAGAGTGAGAAACCGCGGCAAGAGTAAGAGAGAACTTTTTTCCACCAAATCCACATCTTAGAACCTGGTGTTTTATTAAATGAAATAGATGCAGAACAGTAAAGGAAAGATAAAGTTTATCTGTGACATCATCCTCAATATTTTGTAATATTGGCCAAATGACCTTGCAAACTTACTTTACTACAATAACAGTTTTATCATAAATCAAACGTAAAAATCTTAAAATACATAAAATTTTACGCAGCATAATCAGATTTACTTGTACGAACCGTAAAAAACTGCAAAAGTTCCATATTAGCATCCGATTTCACCTGGATATATAGATATAAGAAGATGTGGTATGAGTGCCAATGAGACAACTCTCCATCCAAGTCAAAATTTATAAAAGTAAACCATTATAGGTCACAGTACGGTCTTCAACACGGAGCCTTGGCTCACACCGAACAGTAAGCTATAAAGGGCCCCAAAAAAATTACTAGTGTAAAACCATTCAAACGGGAAAACCAACGGTCTAATCTATATAAAAAACGAGAAACGAGAAACACTTATGAACCACATCAACAAACGACAACTACTGAACATCAGATTCCTGACTTAGGACAGGTGCAAACAAATGCAGCGGGTTTAAACGTTTTAATGGTACCAAACCTTCACCCTTTTTCCGAAACAATAGTGTAACATCACAACATAGAAAGACACACTATAAAATATCAACTGAAATAGCTTAACTCAATCAAAGGACATATTAACACCATTGAACATACACTGAACAAATAAATTTGACCTATGACACAATGTAAATACAAAATAAATAAACTAAGGGAAGAATACTAAAAGTAACATGTTATATCGGTAAGAAATGTTAAACAATTAAAGAAAAACAATAAGCTCGAACAAAAATATCAGCCATTTGCAAAAACTTTAAACACAGGTAAATGAAAATAATTTTGTTGGTAGGTATACGTGTACATGCATACCTAATGAAGCTAGTTTTTAAAGTGGAATATTGCATTTATTATTCATCACATTATATTTATTTCATTCATTTACTTACCAAAAAGTCTTATTTTTATTCGTGTAATTTTCTCGACTTTTTTAATTCGCAACTCGACTTTCGACACTCGACAACAAGAAACTCTCATTTTTGTCAATCTTTTTTGGATGTTATTTGTTGCTATGTAAAGAAACTTATTCAATTTATTAAATATTTATTTGAAGATGTCATTGAATATAAATAGATATCCTCCTAAATTATTGAAACTTAACCTCTTGATATAAGTTAGATACAAGCAAGCGGGTTAAAAACTTCTGGTCACAATGGAGACGTTTGATCCGATGTCTCATGTAGAGAAAGTGCCACTATCTTTGCACTCTCTCTGCACGTCAAAAACACTTTGCAACAACATATTCAGGGGTCTGTAGGTGACCTGTTCCAAGGCAAACTTTCTAAACATTATCTAACATACATTGTTTCCTGTGACGGTCATAATTATGCATGAAATAATTGCCACTTGAAATTAAGCTGCAACAGTCTTATAATCAATTATTTTAGGTTTTAAATTTTAACCTCTTTAGACAGACTTCAAAACGTATGACCGACTGTATGTTAAATTTATTCAACCAATTTTGATCATCTACACACGGTTTAAGACAATACTATAAGAATTTAATCTAATCAAGAACCCATAAAGGGCATCATTTACAACAATATTAAGCACAATATGATTGGAAAAAAGAAAAACTATATCCTAATATAATACTATCATATATTGGACAGGATCAGAGCCTAACACATCATGTGTCTTACATAACATTAACAATAATTGCATAATAATTTTATATATTTTGTATCCACCTGGATCTTATTTCTAAACACTTAATTATATAATTGCCTAGGCACATAAGAGTTGGTAAATGCTCATTTGTGAACAGCCAGAAATATTTTTTATCCTTGGGTAATTCTTTAAAATTATTACAAAAACTGTTTACTTTATCCCATAATAATTTTCTCTGTTCGTTATATAAAGGACAACTTACTGTGAAATGGGTCTCATCTTCAATATATGAAAACAAAGGATAAAGGACCTGCTATTAAAAAATACTGTACAAGAGATCCATTTAAGCAAAACTATTTCTTCCAAATTAAATAAACAATACCGGTATTACAATGTATACCAGTAAAGGATCGCAAAAGAGACCATGGGAGTCATTTATATAAATAGTATTTTCTTATCCAGAGATCAAAGTCGCAAATGAATCAAATCTGGCCTTTCAATCGAAAGCCTCTTAGACAAAGCCATTAAGAGTATACTAGTGTAAACCTTTGAGTACTTAATATAATGGAGAGAATGGCCATGAGTAATAGTATGGAGAGATATTATTATAATTATTATTGATTGAATCGTATAAACCGAAAACGATTTCCGTGTCGATTGCAACTCAATTATAAACCATACATGACCAAAATTTCTTGTCTGGTTGGACTAATGATGGACACTATTAATGGACGTGATCTTACGTCAAATATATATATGAATAAACTGAATATGCAAATATTTTTATTAACGTCTTGCTGGACAGGTTGGAACGCGTGTCTGTATATAAGATTCAACAGGTTGTTCAATAGTTTCACAAGTCCCAATAAATGTCTTTCCTTGATGTAGACGCCTCGTTATCCATGTCAAATCACAGGTACATTCTATAAGACAATTGGCCAAGTTTAAAGTCTTGAGTGCGGGGGTATTTATGATTGCTCTCGGAATCTGAGTCATGGCAGTGGATGAGAAATCAATAACCTCTAATGCCGGTAACGACTGAAATGCTTCAGTAGAAATGTATGCCAGAGGGTTGTGAGATACGTTCAATTTAGTTATTGTAGGCTGGTTACTCATATCATACCGTTCAATGCTTTGTATATTATTGTTCGATACATCAAGCTCTGCCATGCTGGGTAATTTAAGTAAAGCTTGTGGAATTCTATCAAGTTGGCATCCACTTAAACCCATTTTTGTGATGGAAGCATTAATGAGTAGTGACAAGGCATCATCGGCCACGTACCATAAGTTGTTTCTACCCATATTCAATTCTTTAAGATTGACAAGATTTCTCAAAACTGCAGGGAATCTTGATAATCCGTCATTTTGTAGACTTAACACTTTTAGTGGACTAGTTGTATGAGTTAAGGTGGCAAAAGCTTGGGCAAATATTCCACTGTCATGTACATGAATATTGTCATCAAAATATAGTTCCTGGAGCTGTGTAAGTTGTGATATTGCCAGTGGTATTTGTCTAAGTTGTGTGTGAGATATGTGCAACTTTCTTAACGTGTGTTCAAACCCATGAAATCCATCATAGGGTATATTTGCTAGATACCCTCCCTCATAGTTCAAGGTATCTAATTTCGGAAAATGGGTTAAGGCAACTCTCGGCCAAGTAGCAATATTTCTTCCTCCAAAGTGAAATTCCGTTATTGTGTCCCCAATTAGACGAAACACGTTATCAGTAGAACCTCTATCCAATGTTGTTCCATCTGGAAAAGCGTTCTCCTTGATATCTAAATACGACAACTTATTCAATTTGCCAATATCCTGGGCCTGTGACAAATCCCTCAAATTATTAGATCTAAGTGTTAATTTTACAAGTGTATCATAAACAGCATCAAAAGCTCCATCCTGAATGGATGTTATATGATTGTGACCTAAATTTATCTCTAAATCTTTGTGTGTTAGTCCTTTAAATGCATGAATAGGAACGGTTCGTATGTTATTATTATTGAGGTTTACAATTGTTATTGAATCAGGATTTGGGATCGTTGTAAAATTTGGTATTGAAGTACGTCCAGAGTTTGCGCAATCGTACACATGTCCAATCGTTTTACACGCTCCATCCACCGTCACCGTGGTACTAACCAACACTAATGCCAATAATAGCAACATCTGAAACAAAATATTATTGAATTAAGAGACGTACCGATCAATATAACAGAAGAATAACCGTGATAATGTGCAATGTTCTGCATTATATTTGAAAATGCTGAAAAAGTTCTCGTTCTCATTTACACTGTGTGCATCTCGTTATTGTAGAATGAACAAAGGGGTTTCTTTGTATTATATGGTTTAAGGTCAAACATTTTGTTTCTTTGTATTATATGGTTTAAGGTCAAACATTTTCCAATAAAACTGATTTTAACTTCTTCAGATCTTATTATTTATTTGAATGTTTTATTCTATCGGAAGATTTTTTGAAATTTTGTAATTAAATTAAATCGTACGGAAAGTTTTTATATATATATCGTTATTAAACAGATAAGACATATATTAGAATTATTTCGTTGGACATTTTTGGTGGTTCACATTGCTGGAAGCCTTACGGTGACCTTGAGTTGTCAACACTTGGTAATTGATGGATAGTCGTCTTCTCAGTGGCACTCATACCATATCTTCTTTTTATATCTAACTCAATTGTTTAACATCTTAAGAAGAAGAAAAAATATTGCATGTACAAAATAAATAAATCGAATTACAAAAAAGATTTGTGTTAATGTTTCCACGCAATAGCTTCAGTATGTTTACGATAAAAATGTTTGTCTTACCTGTTAAATCGTTGTCACAGTTCTAAAAGTAAGGGTACAGTTTGTCATGTGCATATTCTCTTATCTTGAAGATAACATATTCCACCTATATCTAAACAATGTATTGGAATATACTTTTTTTAAATAAATCTATTAAATGTGATTATACAGAACTCAATATTTAGTTTTATTATAAACATCTACAGTGGTAAACGTTTTGACCAGGTTATAGATATAAGAAGATGTGGTATGAGTGCCAATGAGACAACTCTCCATCCAAGTCAAAATTTATAAAAATAAACCATTAATAGGTCAAAGTACGGTCTTCAACACGGAGCCTTGGCTCACACCGAACAGCAAGCTATAAAGGGCCCCAAAAATTACTAGTGTAAAACCATTCAAACGGGAAAACCAACGGTCTAATCTATATAAAAAACGAGAAACGAGAAACACTTATGAACCACATCAATAAACGACAACTACTGAACATCAGATTCCTGACTTAGGACAGGTGTACTAGTAATCTATATCCCTGTTGTAGTATTTTTGTATATACAAATGTAACGCTAAATTCTTAATTGACATTCACTGTAAACTTGCTGATATTAAATCAATTTCATAAAAGATAGTAATTCTATTTCTCATAATAATTCAGAAATTCACATGACAAAAACTATACATTTTTTAAGCAGTGATTAGTGCAATGACGGCATGGTCAAGTGAACCCTGTTTGACGGACACGAAGACCTTGCAAGAATCTCATATACCAAATATAGTTATTCTATTTCTCATAATGATTTAGAAATTTATATGACAAAAAAACTAGACATTTTTTTATCAGTCGCTAAACCATAGAAACGAGGTTAGGGACAATGGACATATGACAGACTAAAATTTCGTAACATTATGCATTCTTTTTTCTATCATTTTAATACGACCCCAGGGTAGACTTGGTATGTCGGAATGGGAACGTTAAAACCGATGACCCGTGTATTGTGAGTGCTCCGTATGTGACTTGTTGAAAAGCAAAATTTTGTCTTCCCTCATGCAACGTAACCTCATTTTCCAATATGTGTCGGACTTGTTAATTTGGTATTGCCCTAAATATACATTACATATTGACTACTGTACGTTAAGCAAACAACAATCAATCAATCAATCATCTTTGTTTCTGCACTTATCAATATGATCTTCTAGTAAAGTAGTTATAAGAAACTAAGGTTTCAACTCCCTCAGGCAAAGTTGACCTTAGATGGATTTGGCTAATTTTTTTTTATCTTTTTGTTCATATAGCCCTTCAACTGTTCTTATTCATCCTTGAATTTCAAATATTCGGCTTTGAGCGTTCCTGATGAAGGTAAATCCAGAAAAGCATTTCATACACATAAAATTTAGAAAGTGTTGTTTTCATTTTGTATAGTTTCCCAGAGTAACCGCTTTGAAAAAAATATAACAAACAATACATCTCTAGAACTAAGAGGAATTGCTAGGCTAGAGGCTAACAATAAGTTTCTAACCGATAAAAAACTTTCGTATCACAAACCGTTCTTCGAATAAAAGAACAAATAATTCAGAAGTTTCAGCACAAAAGAAGCAAAATTCGGTTCGTTTTGTCTCTTATAGAAAAGACATTTGGTAATATTTTATCTATAACTTATGCATAAAAATGTGTTATTCTGAGAAAACGTATTTGATTACACTGCAAAGATAAGACTAAATTATTCCAATATAAAATCTGCTTCCCAATGGGAAAAGAACTGTAACTCCCTTTCTCTTCCGTCACATTCAAAATTTGTTTAAGGAATTTATTTTTAATGTGATCCATGTTATCAGTGCTCTACTAAAATTGTATTTACTATTAAGCATACATTATACAATGAATGTCGTATAACAATATGTTATTGACAAAAACCCTTGAATTTTAAAACATTTTTTTCACACACTCGTTTTATCTTTTTTTTTCTCCGTTAATTGATTTAAAAACACGAGCAATGTATTCCTTTTGGTTTTTTTTTTTCAATCTGACAAGGACTAGAGATTAACGTTACCCTTTCAATATAAATGAGATAATTTTAGGGAAAATCTTGAAGCTTTCCAATTTTTGATAGAGAAATTCGTCTTACTTTCCAAGTGTTACTCACTCTTACTAACGCAAAAATTATTTAAAATAAACATTAACTTGCTCATTTAAAACATGAAGCAAAACTTCTAAAATGTTTCTTTTGTTTTTGTTCATTAAGAATCTGTTCAACTTGTTCGGGTACACAAGCGTGTCTGTGCTGTTTATGCAGAGAATTTTATGAAGTACAGCAACCGATATTTGAGTGTAGGATGACATGATTACATCTCAACGGATTAACTACTCACTCTGGATTACAATAACTGTGAGGATTAAGGTACCTCATGTGGAGCAGAATCTGCTTACCCTTCCAGAGCATCTGAGATCATCCCCAGTATTTGGTGGGGTTCGTGTTGCTCAGTCTTTAGTTTTCTATGTTGTGTTTTGTGTACTATTGTTTGTCTGTTGATCTTTTTCTTTTTTAGTCATGGCGTTGTCAGTTTATTTTCGACTTATGAGTTTGAATGTCCCTTTGGTATCTTTCGCCTCTCTTGAAATGGTGGAGATTAGAGGCAACAGTATTGGTATCTTTCGCCTCTCTTGATATGGTGGAGATTAGAGGCAACAGTATTGGTATCTTTCGCCTCTCTTGATATGGTGGAAATTAGAGGCAACAGTACTAGTAGTTTACCGATGTTCAAATCTTGTAAATCGATTAAGAAAAGATAAATCAAGGTAACAAACACAAACTGAGGAAATCATATGAATCCCAAAAGGAGGGAGAGGGCAAGTATCTCCTGTTATGCATGCAGCACCCGTCATGTGAGAGAGGGCAAGTATCTCCTGTTATGCATGCAGCAACCGCCATGTGAGAGAGGGCAAGTATCTCCTGTTATGCATGCAGCACCCGTCATGTGAGAGAGGGCAAGTATCTCCTGTTATGCATGCAGCACCCGCCATGTGAGTCCACACTCGGTCAACATGTCATAATCGGGAATGGGACACAATCAGTATTAACAATTACAGATAAGTCGACTCTTCTGGTATTCAAATATTAGGAAACATGTCGCTGGTGAGTGGAGTAACAGACATATCGTATCGGTCAACTAATTCGTGATTGTGACCGTAAAAATTATGTAGTGTCGATTTCACTGGTTGTTAATTACTCTGTTGGAGTAGTTTTTTTGTGTAAGGAGAACACCCTTGCAAATTAAGTCTGTATAGTGTGCACATGCACGGGTGTAACGTATCATTTGAGATCGGACCGAGTATTTTACTGTTGAGAAAGGGAAAGTTGACATAATAACGTTTGTCAGCGATCCTAGTTTGAAGTTGTTTGATTGTCTTAGTGTTTTATTATGAGCATAAACCATTCAAATTTGTGGCGCATTTCATAATTCAACTTTTTTTATCATTACTATACATTGATCCTTAACAGATATAAACATACGTTGATCCTTTATAAATCAAGTTATGTTATGTCACTGATATCATATAAAGTATTTCTGCAGCCTGGTTGGTAAAGTGTTAAAAGAAGTTACTTTGTTTAATGGTTATTCAAGTCGTACAACAAATGACATTTGTTTCTGAATGCTTATTTACCTCTTAGAAGTACGTGTTATTTTACCTTTTTCACTGATTATATAGTGTAAGGAATTTTGATATGTTCAGTGATGTATTTAAAGAAATGATAACACTGTCTTGACTCAGTCACTGTTTTAGTTCTTTAAATCGTCACAATAAAATGTATTTTTAATAGAGTTGTTTTTATTCGCAATCGTATTTTTAGACCGGCTCACAAGCACACATTTACTCATGTATGGTTATATGCATTTGTATATAAGTACCTCTTGACTCAGTCACTGTTTTAGTTCTTTAAATCGTCAGAATAAAATGTATTTTTAATAGAGTTGTTTTTATTCGCAATCGTAATTTTAGACCGGCTCACAAGCACACATTTGCTCATGTATGGTTATATGCATTTGTATATAAGTAAAACGTGCATGTGGAAACATATACACATTTACAAGTAGTGTATATTTAGCCCAGTAGTCAACACTATGGTCATAATTACAGATTACCTGTTTACAAAATTTTGAATTTTCGAAATACTAAGGGTTTTCTACCCCAGGAATAGATTACCTTAGCTTTATTTGGCAAAACTTTTAGGAATTTGGATCCTCAATTCTCTTTGTACTAGTGTATTTTATTTGGTCATTTTAACTTTTTTGATTCGAGCGTCACTGATGAGTCTAGCTTACGAAATTTCAATCCTGGCATATATGATGAGTTTATTTACGTTAACAACACTGCAAAAGTCATTGTTTACCATCATTTTAATTAGTCTGGTCATGCAATCCTATCTTTGCGAGTTCGCATTATCGAAAAAAATATACCAATACTAACAACATTCGATAAACAAAAGGAAGACTAATGGATTCAAGAATTGGGAACTGCGACACCATATTGTTGCAATGACAAAATTGGTAGCAAAAGTATTCTATCTAGTCCTTCCTGTAGCTCGGTGAATTTGATGAATATATTCAACTCTACTCCTCGACGTAGACGCAATCATTGCCATCGTCATTATACATCACCTACTCTCCATGATGTCTCTATTAATGATCTTCTGCCATTTATACAAAAGCCGTTGGGTATTCATCACTTTTACACGAAGCTTTACTCACTACCCCATTCAAAATTTCATTTTCTGTACAACTTATGTTTGGAAACCACTGTTACAAACCCCCATTCAAACCAATACAAACTTACAGCTATCATCTCTGATATTGCCAGTAACAGACTTTTCAGACCGGTTCGCAAAGGAAAAGATGAAAAGGATAAAAGATCCTTTCTAAAACTTTTCTTTGCCAACAAAGGTCTCGATTCCATCAACTTGGCCAATATCCTTCATCATAAATCAGTTCAATTAAACAATACCTCCCTTCTTTAAAGATCACTCTGCACCTATCATCTCTTGTATCTATACCAAACCAATTGCAACTTAAATTTTCAATTACAAAGACGTATTGTGGGATCTCAACATTGACGACTTCAAGCTACTCTCATCCTCCTGTGCTAGCTCCCGATTCATATATAATCCGGCTGGTCACGTTATTACTGGCGACCAGAACATAATCAATAACACTTCTCTGCGAAATATGTTATCCAAAGGCCCGAAATATGGTGAGCCTCAATCCATCATTTGGAAACACAAGTTTAAAATATTGATGGATTTATTTAAGGATTATAGGGGCAATGGGCTAAAGGCGAAAAATAAGAAGTAAATACTATTTCCGAATGGGTTATGGTTATGAGGTCGTTGATACAAATTAGAATTAAAAAACTAAATTGGTCTATAAATTCACGTGCTGCATCGATCTCCAAAGACCAAAATGTTTGTAAGCACCTATCCTACCTCCGTGTTGATGTCCCCGCAGATAAAGCCCCAAACAACATAGTTTTTGTGTGTAAATGACATTACATAAGCTGCTTGATAAAAGAATTATGTATTGACAACTCACTTGGAAACTCAACATATACCCCAACGACACTTATCAAGGAGTAAATCCTGAATAATCATAGGTCTGTTCTATGTTCCTTTGAAATTTCATCCTAAGATGAAGAACTGGATCTTCCTTCACTGTATTGGATACCTAAATTACATAAGTGTCCTAACACACAACGTTATATTACTGGGGCTTCCAAGTGCTCCAAGAAACCTATTTCTAAATTATTAACATCTATTTTATCAGCAATCAAAGCCGGGCTTCAAAGTTATTTTAAAAATACCTACTCTAGGGACGACGTGAATCTGGCCATGCGGTCATAAAACTTTCGAGTACAATTTTTATACTCAGACTCGGAAATCAACCAATCAAATCCCTTGCTTTAGTGTTTCGAGCACAAATTTTGTACTCCTAGTACTGATTAAAGTTGTATGGCCGAGGGTCCAGATGTGGATACTTAAAAATTCGAAAGATCTGTGAGAGTACATACAATCTAAGTCTCCTTGCATTTGATTTTTCTACCCTTTACACAAGTATTGCCAATTCCAAACTAAAAGACAAATTGAAAGAATTTGTTCTGCTTTGTTTCATAAAAAAGAATTGCCAAAGTAGATACAAATATCTGGTCTTTAAGGGAGGGATAAATCTTAGTTTGTAAAAAATCAGTCTGATTCAAACAGTTGTGCTCCTCTTCCTGCCGACTTCTTTCTTTATTCTTATGAGGCTGACTGACTTCATCCAGGAGCTTCGTAGGAAGAATGAAAAGAAGTTAGCATTATCCTTCATCTTCACTTTCTGCTATATAGATGATGTTCTCTCACTAAAAAAGTCAAAGTTTGGTGACTATGTTGAAAGCATCTATCTCATCGAACTTGAAATAAATGGTGCAACAGATACAGTTTAAGTTTAGTCTGCCTCATATCTTGACTTACATCTAGAAATTGACAATGTTTCTTGTTTCTCGTTTTTTTATATAGATTAGACCGTTGGTTTTCCTGTTTGAATTGTTTCACACTAGCTATTTTGGGGCCCTTTATAGCTTACTGTTCGGTGTGAGCCAAGGCTCCGTGTTGAAGGCCGTACTTTGACAAATTGTTAACTCTTTATACATTGTGACTTGGATGGAGAGTTGTCTCATTGGCACTCATACCACATCTTCTTATCTATAATGAGGGTTGGTTGAGAAAAAAACTTTACGACAAAAGAGATGAAAAAAAATACTGTACAAGAGATCCATTTAAGCAAAACTATTTCTTCCCAATTAAATAAACAATACCGGTATTACAATGTATACCAGTAAAGGATCGCAAAAGAGGCCATGGGAGTCATTTATATGAATAGTATTTTCTTATCCAGAGATCAAAGTCGCTAATGAATCAAATCTGGCCTTTCAATCGAAAGCCTCTTAGACAAAGCCCTTAAGAGTATACTAATGTAAACCTTTGAGTACTTAATATAATGGAGAGAATGGCCATGAGTAATAGTATGGTGAGATATTCTAATAATTATTATTGATTGAATCGTATAAACCGAAAACGATTTCCGTGTCGATTGCAACTCAATTATAAACCATACATGACCAAAATTTCTTGTCTGGTTGGACTAATGATGGACACTATTAATGGACGTGATCTTACGTCAAATATATATATGAATAAACTGAATATGCAAATATTTTTATTAACGTCTTGCTGGACAGGTTGGAACGCGTGTCTGTATATAAGATTCAACAGGTTGTTCAATAGTTTCACAAGTCCCAATAAATGTCTTTCCTTGATGTAGACGCCTCGTTATCCATGTCAAATCACAGGTACATTCTATAAGACAATTGGCCAAGTTTAAAGTCTTGAGTGCGGGGGTATTTATGATTGCTCTCGGAATCTGAGTCATGGCAGTGGATGAGAAATCAATAACCTCTAATGCCGGCAACGACTGAAATGCTTCAGTAGAAATGTATGCCAGAGGGTTGTGAGATACGTTCAATTTAGTTATTGTAGGCTGGTTACTCATATCATACCGTTCAATGCTTTGTATATTATTGTTCGATACATCAAGCTCTGCCATGCTGGGTAATTTAAGTAAAGCTTGTGGAATTCTATCAAGTTGGCATCCACTTAAACCCATTTTTGTGATGGAAGCATTAATGAGTAGTGACAAGGCATCATCGGCCACGTACCATAAGTTGTTTCTACCCATATTCAATTCTTTAAGATTGACAAGATTTCTCAAAACTGCAGGGAATCTTGATAATCCGTCATTTTGTAGACTTAACACTTTTAGTGGACTAGTTGTATGAGTTAAGGTGGCAAAAGCTTGGGCAAATATTCCACTGTCATGTACATGGATATTGTCATCAAAATATAGTTCCTGGAGCTGTGTAAGTTGTGATATTGCCAGTGGTATTTGTCTAAGTTGTGTGTGAGATATGTGCAACTTTCTTAACGTGTGTTCAAACCCATGAAATCCATCATATGGTACGTTGGCTAGATACCCTCCTTCGTAGTTCAAGGTATCTAATTTCGGAAAATGGGTTAAGGCAACTCTCGGCCAAGTGGCAATATTTCTTCCTCCAAAGTGAAATTCAGTTATAGTGTCCCCAATTAGACGAAACACGTTATCAGTAGTACCTCTATCCAATGTTGTTCCATCTGGAAAATCGTTATCCTTGATATCTAAATACGACAACTTATTCAATTTGCCAATATCCTGGGCCTGTGACAAATCCCTCAAATTATTAGATCTAAGTGTTAGTTTTATTAGTGTATCATAAACAGCATCAAAAGCTCCATCCTGAATGGATGTTATATTATTGTGACCTAAATTTATCTCTAAATCTTTGTGTGTTAATCCTTTAAATGCATGAATAGGAACGGTTCTTATGAGATTATTATTGAGGTTTACAATTGTTATTGAACCAGGATTTGGGATCGTTGTAAAATCTGGTATTGAAGTACGTCCAGAGTTTGCGCAATCGTACACATGTCCAATTGTTTTGCACGCTCCATCCACCGTCACCGTGGTACTAACCAACACTAATGCCAATAATAGCAACATCTGAAACAAAATATTATTGAATTAAGAGACGTACCGATCAATATAAAAGAAGAATAACCACCGTGATAATGTGCAATGTTCTGCATTATATTTGAAAATGCTGAAAAAGTTCTCGTTCTCATTTACACTGTATGTATCTAAATCATTGTAGAATGAACAAAGGGGTTTCTTTGTATTATATGGTTTAAGGTAAAACATTTTGTTTCTTTGTATTACGGTATATGGTTTAAGGTCAAACATTTTCCAATAAAACTGATTTTAATTTCTTCAGATTTTATTATTTATTTGAATGTTTTATTCTATCGGAAGATTTTTTGAAATTTTGTAATTAAATTAAATCGTACGGAAAGCTTTTATATATATCGTTATTAAACAGGTAAGACATATATTAGAATTGTTTCGTTGGACATTTTTGGTGGTTCATATTGCTGGAAGCCTTATGGTGACCTTGAGTTGTCAACACTTGGTCATTGATGGATAGTCGTCTTCTCAGTGGCACTCATACCATATCTTCTTTTTATATTTAACTTAAATTGTTTAACATCTTAAAAAGAAGAAAAAATATTGCATGTACAAAATTGATAAATCGAATTACAAAAAAGATTTGTGTTAATGTTTCCACGCAATAGCTTCAGTATGTCTACGATAAAAATGTTCGTCTTACCTGTTAAATCGTTGTCACAGTTCTAAAAGTAAGGGTACAGTTTGTCATGTGCATATTCTCTTATCTTGAAGATAACATATTCCACCTATATCTAAACAATGTATTGGAATGTAATTTTTTTAAATAAATCTATTAAATGTGATTATACAGAATTCAATATATAGTTTTATTATAAACATCTACAGTGGTAAACGTTTTGACCAGGTTATAGATATAAGAAGATGTGGTATGAGTGCCAATGAGACAACTCTCCATCCAAGTCAAAATTTATAAAAGTAAACCATTATAGGTCAAAGTGCGGTCTTCAATACGGAGCCTTGGCTCACACCGAACAGCAAGCTATAAAGGGCCCCAAAAATTACTAGTGTAAAACCATTCAAACGGGAAAACCAACGGTCTAATCTATATAAAAAACGAGAAACGAGAAACACTTATGAACCACATCAACAAACGACAACCCCTGAACATCAGATTCCTGACTTAGGACAGGTGTACTAGTAATCTATATCCCTGTTGTAGTATTTTTGTATATACAAATGTAACGCTAAATTCTTAATTGACATTCACTGTAAACTTGCTGATATTAAATCAATTTCATAAAAGATAGTAATTCTATTTCTCATAATAATTCAGAAATTCACATGACAAAAACTATACATTTTTTAAGCAGTGATTAGTGCAATGACGGCATGGTCAAGTGAACCCTGTTTGACGGACACGAAGACCTTGCAAGAATCTCATATACCAAATATAGTTATTCTATTTCTCATAATGATTTAGAAATTTATATGACAAAAAACTAGACATTTTTTTATCAGTCGCTAAACCATAGAAACGAGGTTAGGGACAATGGACATATGACAGACTAAAATTTCGTAACATTATGCATTCTTTTTTCTATCATTTTAATACGACCCCAGGGTAGACTTGGTATGTCGGAATGGGAACGTTAAAACCGATGACCCGTGTATTGCGAGTGCTCCGTATGTGACTTGTTGAAAAGCAAAATTTTGTCTTCCCTCATGCAACGTAACCTCATTTTCCAATATGTGTCGGACTTGTTAATTTGGTATTGCCCTAAATATACATTACATATTGACTACTGTACGTTAAGCAAACAACAATCAATCAATCAATCATCTTTGTTTCTGCACTTATCAATATGATCTTCTAGTAAAGTAGTTATAAGAAACTAAGGTTTCAACTCCCTCAGGCAAAGTTGACCTTAGATGGATTTGGCTAATTTTTTTTTATCTTTTTGTTCATATAGCTCTTCAACTGTTCTTATTCATCCTTGACTTTCAAATATTCTGCTTTGAGCGTTCCTGATGAAGGTAAATCCAGAAAAGCATTTCATACACATAAAATTTAGAAAGTGTTGTTTTCATTTTGTATAGTTTCCCAGAGTAACCGCTTTGAAAAAAATATAACAAACAATACATCTCTAGAACTAAGAGGAATTGCTAGGCTAGAGGCTAACAATGATTTTCTAACCGATAAAAAACTTTCGTATCACAAACCGTTCTTCGAATAAAAGAACAAATAATTCAGAAGTTTCAGCACAAAAGAAGCAAAATTCGGTTCGTTTTGTCTCTTATAGAAAAGACATTAGGTAATATTTTATCTATAACTTATGCATAAAAATGTGTTATTCTGAGAAAACGTATTTGATTATACTGAAAAGATAAGACTAAATTATTCCAATATAAAATCTGCTTCCCAATGGGAAAAGAACTGTAACTCCCTTTCTCTTCCGTCACATTCAAAATTTGTTTAAGGAATTTATTTTTAATGTGATCCATGTTATCAGTGCTCTACTAAAATTGTATTTACTATTAAGCATACATTATACAATGAATGTCGTATAACAATATGTTATTGACAAAAACCCTTGAATTTTAAAATATTTTTTTCACACACTCGTTTTATCTTTTTTTTTTCCGTTAATTGATTTAAAAACACGAGCAATGTATTCCTTTTGGTTTTTTTTTCAATCTGACAAGGACTAGAGATTAACGTTACCCTTTCAATATAAATGAGATAATTTTAGGGAAAATCTTGAAGCTTTCCAATTTTTGATAGAGAAATTCGTCTTACTTTCCAAGTGTTACTCACTCTTACTAACGCAAAAATTATTTAAAATAAACATTAACTTGCTCATTTAAAACATGAAGCAAAACTTCTAAAATGTTTCTTTTGTTTTTGTTCATTAAGAATCTGTTCAACTTGTTCGGGTACACAAGCGTGTCTGTGCTGTTTATGCAGAGAATTTTATGAAGTACAGCAACCGATATTTGAGTGTAGGATGACATGATTACATCTCAACGGATTAACTACTTACTCTGGATTACATTAACTGTGAGGATTAAGGTACCACATGTGGAGCAGAATCTGCCTACCCTTACAGAGCACCTGAGATCATCCCCAGTGTTTGGTGGGGTTCGTGTTGCTCAGTCTTTAGTTTTCTATGTTGTGTTTTGTGTACTATTGTTTGTCTGTTGATCTTTTTCTTTTTTAGTAATGGCGTTGTCAGTTTATTTTCGACTTATGAGTTTGAATGTCCCTTTGGTATCTTTCGCCTCTCTTGAAATGGTGGAGATTAGAGGCAACAGTATTGGTATCTTTCGCCTCTCTTGATATGGTGGAGATTAGAGGAAACAGTATTGGTATCTTTCGCCTCTCTTGATATGGTGGAAATTAGAGGCAACAGTACTAGTAGTTTACCGATGTTGTTCAAATCTTGTAAATCGATTAAGAAAAGACAAATCAAGGTAACAAACACAAACTGAGGAAATCACATGAATCCCAAAAGGAGGGAGAGGGCAAGTATCTCCTGTTATGCATGCAGCACCCGTCATGTGAGAGAGGGCAAGTATCTCCTGTTATGCATGCAGCACCCGCCATGTGAGAGAGGGCAAGTATCTCCTGTTATGCATGCAGCACCCGTCATGTGAGAGAGGGCAAGTATCTCCTGTTATGCATGCAGCACCCGCCATGTGAGAGAGGGCAAGTATCTCCTGTTATGCATGCAGCACCCGCCATGTGAGAGAGGGCAAGTATCTCCTGTTATGCATGCAGCACCCGTCATGTGAGAGAGGGCAAGTATCTCCTGTTATGCATTCAGCACCCGTCATATGAGAGAGGGCAAGTATCTCCTGTTATGCATGCAGCACCCGCCATGTGAGTCCACACTCGGTCAACATGTCATAATCGGGAATGGGACACAATCAGTATTAACAATTACAGATAAGTCGACTCTTCTGGTATTCAAATATTAGGAAACATGTCGCTGGTGAGTGGAGTAACAGACATATCGTATCGGTCAACTAATTCGTGATTGTGACCGTAAAAATTATGTAGTGACGATTTCACTGGTTGTTAGTTTCTCTGTTGGAGTAGTTTTTTGTGTAAGGAGAACACCCTTGCAAATGAAGCCTGTATAGTGTGCACACGCACGGGTGTAATGTATCATTTGAGATCGGACCGAGTATTTTACTGTTGAGAAAGGGAAAGTTGACATAATAACGTTTGCCAGCGATCCTAGTTTGAAGTTGTTTGATTGTCTTAGTGTTTTATTATGAGCATTAACCATTCAAATTTGTGGCGCATTTCATAATTCAACTTTTTTTATCATTACTATACATTGATCCTTAACAGATAACATTGATCCTTAACAGATATAAACATACGTTGATCCTTTATAAATCAAGTTATGTAATGTCACTGATATCATAAAAAGTATTTCTGCAGCCTGGTGGGTAAAGTGTTATAAGAAGTTACTTTGTTCAATGGTTATTCAAGTCGTACAACAAATGACATTTGTTTCTGAATGCTTATTTACCTCTTAGAAGTACGTATTATTTTACCTTTTTCACTGATTATATAGTGTAAGGAATTTTGATATGTTCAGTGATGTATTTAAAGAAATGTTAACACTGTCTTGACTCAGTCACTGTTTTAGTTCTTTAAATCGTCAGAATAAAATGTATTTTTAATAGAGTTGTTTTTATTCGCAATCGTATTTTTAGACCGGCTCACAAGCACACATTTGCTTATGTATGGTTATATGCATTTGTATATAAGTAAAACGTGCATGTGGAAACATATACACATTTACAAGTAGTGTATATTTAGCCCAGTAGTCAGCACTATGGTCATAATTACAGATTAACTGTTTACAAAATTTTGAATTTTCGAAATACTAAGGGTTTTCTACCCCAGGAATAGATTACCTTAGCTTTATTTGGCAAAACTTTTAGGAATTTTGGATCCTCAATTCTCTTTGTACTAGTGTATTTTATTTGGTCATTTTAACTTTTTTGATTCGAGCGTCACTGATGAGTCTAGCTTACGAAATTTCAATCCTGGCATATATGATGAGTTTATTTACGTTAACAACACTGCAAAAGTCATTGTTTACCAGCATTTTAATTAGTCTGGTCATGCAATCCTATCTTTGCGAGTTCGCATTATCGAAAAAAATATACCAATACTAACAACACTCGATAAACAAAAGGAAGACTAATGGATTCGAGAATTGGGAACTGCGACACCATATTGTTGCAATGACAAAATTGGTGGCAAAAGTATTCTATCTAGTCCTTCCTGTAGCTCGGTGAATTTGATGAATATATTCAACTCTACTCCTCGACGTAGACGCAATCATTGCCATCGTCATTATACATCACCTACTCTCCATGATGTCTCTATTAATGATCTTCTGCCATTTATACAAAAGCCGTTGGGTATTCACCACATTTACACGAAGCTTTACTCACTACCCGATTCAAAACTTCATTGTCTGTACAACTTATGTTTAGAAACCACTGTTACAAACCCCCATTCAAACCAATACAAACTTACAGCTATCATCTCTGATATTGCCAGTAACAGACTTTTCAGACCGGTTCGCATAGGAAAAGATGAAAAGGATAAAAGATCCTTTCTAAAACTTTTCTTTACCAACAAAGGTCTCGATTCCATCAACTTTGCCAATATCCTTCATCATAAATCAGTTCAATCAAACAATACCTCCCTTCTTTAAAGATCACTCTGTACCTATCATCTCTTATATCTCTTATATCTATACCAAACCAATTGCAACTTAAATTTTCAATTACAAAGACGTATTGTGGGATCTCAACATTGACGACTCCAAGCTACTCTAATCCTCTAGCTAGCTCCCGATTCATATATAATCCGGCTGGTCACATTATTACTGGCGACCAGAACATAATCAATAACACTTCTCTGCGAAATATGTTATCCAAAGGCCCGAAATATGGTGAGCCTCAATCCATCATTTGGAAACACAAGTTTAAGGAATATGCTAGGCAATGGGCTAAACGCGAAAAATAAGAAGTAAATACTATTTCTGAATGGGTTATGGTTGTGAGGTCGTTGATACAAATTAGAATTAAAAAACTAAATGGGTCTATAAATTCACGTGCTACATCGATCTTCAAAGACCAAAATGTTTGTAAGCACCTATCCTACATCCGTGTTGTTGTCCCAAACAACATAGTTTTTGTGTGTAAATCACATTACATAAACTGCTTGATAAAAGAATTATGTATTAACAACTCACTTGGAAACTCAACATATACCCCCACGACACTTATCAAGGAGTAAATCCTGAATAATCATAGGTCTGTTCTATGTTCCTTTGAAATTTCATCCAAAGATGAAGAACTGGATCTTCCTTCACTGTATTGGATACCTAAATTACATAAGTGTCCTAACACACAACATTATATTACTGGGGCTTCCAAGTGCTCCACGAAACCTATTTCTAAATTATTAACATCTATTTTATCAGCAATCAAAGCCGGGCTTCAAAGTTATTTTGAAAATACCTACTCTAGGGGCGGCGTGAATTTGGCCATGCGGTCATAAAACTTTCGAGTATATTTTTTATACTCAGACTCGGAAATCAACCAATCAAATCCCTTGCTTTAGTGTTTCGAGCACAAATTTTGTACTCCGAGTACTGATTAAAGTTGTATGGCCGAGGGCCATAGATGTGGATACTTGAAAATTCGAAAGATCTGTTAGAGTACATACAATCTAAGTCTCCTTCCACTTGCAGTAGAAATAAACCATTTGACTTTTCTATCCTTTACACAAGTATTGCCAATTCCAAACTAAAAGACAAATTGAAAGAATTTGTTCTGCTTTGTTTCATAAAAAAGAATTGCAAAGTAGATACAAATATCTGGTCTTAGGGAGGGATAAGTTTGTAAAAAATCAGTCTGATTCAAACAGTTGTGTTCCTCTTCCTGCCGACTTCTTCCTTTATTCTTATGAGGCTGACTGACTTCATCCAGGAGCTTCGTAGGAAGAATGAAAAGAAGATAACATTATCCTTCATCTTCACTTTCTGCTATAAAGATGATGTTTTCTCACTAAATAAGTCAAAGTTTGGAGACTATGTTGAAAACTTCTATCTCATCGAACTTGAAATAAATGGTGCAACAGATACAGTTTAAGTTTAGTCTGCCTCATATCTTGACTTACATCTAGAAATTGACAATGTTTTTTGTTTCTCGTTTTTTATATAGATTAGACCGTTGGTTTTCCTGTTTGAATTGTTTCACACTAGCCATTTTGGGGCCCTTTATAGCTTGCTGTTCGGTGTGAGCCAAGGCTCCGTGTTGAAGGCCGTACTTTGACCTATAATTGTTAACTCTTTTTACATTGTGACTTGGATGGAGAGTTGTCTCATTGGCACTCATACCACATCTTCTTATCTATAATGAGGGTTGGTTGAGAACAAAACTTTACGACAAAAGAGATGATTTCAGCTTCCCATTTGTGAATTTTCCATTTCTATGTAGCAACATTCCAGCAGCACTTGCATAAGGAGTATAGATCTCCCAGTTGATACGATATTCCAGAGCTTGCATTTCATATCATGATTTCCTTGATAGAGGGTTGTTGCTTATTGAACCAAGAGTTCATAAGGGTGAAGTTAAAATCTTCCATTCGAAAATTTTACTGACGCCATCACGAGTTGGTTGACCGTTATAGTGTATCTGTTTCACAGATGACGACGGATATGTTCCATCTGTTGTTACCACAATCCCGTCCTCTTTTTCACGAATGCGTATTGATTTTGACGTCTGATATCATGATAACTAAACTAGACTGAAATTAATGCATTAAAGAAGCTACCGGGTCATAACTCTAGAACTTATACACGGGATTGAAACCCCAAACTTAAATAAATGATAAGTGGACTATCCTTTTTCATTTTAGATAACAGGGTCCACGTATATGGTCATAAAACTTTACAACACATAGACTGAAATGCGGATTTCTTTATACGGGATTGCAACGAAACATAAACATACGAATCTGATGAGTTTAGGACCTTTTCAGCTTATTTTTACCGTCTGCTTTAATGGTGTACTGTAACGTCAATTTCATAGGTAGGGGATGGTTTAGCTCTCCAAAATACATTCAACACCGACACATTCTGTTTCTGCCTGTCTAAAACCAGGAGATTGTAAATCAAGCCCCTTCCAACAAGAGAGCAATCAATAACGAAATGTGTAGGTACCTGATGACATCTGTTTGAAAACTATATCGCCTTAAGACTCCTACCATCCCATTCCTCATAATATATTTTTTATGAGTTTTTGCGTTTACTATGAAATAGCAAAAACCATTTTAATATTTATTGTAACCTAATGAAATAGTATATAAGGTATCTGTATTCTTAAACCTTGCGATCCCACAATTAAGAAGAGCGCTCTGTAAATATGTTTGCCTAGATAAACCCGGCCAACAGCTATATAAAATGGAAGCACACATTTTTTCTTCTTTTGGTATTGAATAATTGAATATATCTGTCAATTTGGAATATCAGATGACATGCTTCCACTCTCATTCTTGGGAAAAAGGCAATTCTTGTTATGGCCAATGCTTTCAATTCTTGTTATGGCCAATTCCTTGAATTCATTGCAAATATACTCCTTGTATAAAAACCATTTACATTGCATAGTCAAATTTGCACTTGAGCATATTTAAAACATGCAAACCGTGTAGCTTTTCTCTATAGAAGATGTTTTATTTCCATTAAATGGGCTCACAAGGAGCTGCATGAACGGGATTGTGTCTGCATGTACAACATGCAAACCCTGCCAACTAATTTTTAATTTCTTGCGCTAGTAATAAATTTGCGCTAGTTACGTCTAGTATAAAGGTCTTTAAAACAAAAGGTAGAAGGGAGCGTAGTCAGATCATTGTAATCAAAGAGAGGACACAATATATGTATGTTAATCAGACTGTATATGCCTAGACCATTTGCTCTTCATTCTAATGTTTTTACTCCCTTAGAAATAAAACCCACAAGAAATCAGTCTTGGGATTTTATCACTAGTGCATTTCGCCCAAAAGGAAAAAGTACACAGCTAACGGGAAATTATCACCGTTACGTTCATTTTTGTCAAGTGTTTATTAATCGAATTTCAGTAAATTGGTACTGATTTGCAGTTGCGGTCAGTTTTGGATGATTTAGAAAATTAAAATTAACAATAAAGACCTAATTGGAATTTTTTTATTTTTAATAACTGACAGAAAGTTCTTGCCAAAAAATGTATTTAAATAAGGAAAAAATGATTCCATTTATTTTGAAGATGTATAGAACTCATTTGGATTATTCATTCAGATTACTGGTTATCGTAGATGATTATGCTTTCTACCGCCACCATGAATTGCTTGATTATTTTTTCAGTGTTTTCCAGATGACTAAGCATGTCAATATAAATGTAATACAATTTGAATTGATACTGTGGCTTAAATTGATAGTAAATTTGTAACTGGATGTATTAGCAAGTAAGAACCTACTTCGCTCGATAACAGATGGGTTTTTTTTAAAAGCATAGACCGTACCAAGTTGGATTCAGTTTATTTATCTATTTTCATAAAAAAAAACTCCATATTTGCTTTATTGCGAAATATACAATTAGATTAGTATAACATTCATGATCTCACAAAACATGTTTAACCCAGCTGCATTTTTGCGCCTGTCCCAAGTCTGGAGCCTCTAGCCTTTTTTAGTCTTGTATGTTTTTTAATTTTAGTTCATTTACATGTTTTGGAGACCAGTGTTTTGGAGTTTAGTGTGACGTCCATTTTCATTGAACTAGTACACGTTTTCGTTTAGGGGCCAGCTGAAGCCCGCCTCCGGGTGCGGGATTTTCTCGCTGTATTGAAAACCCATTGGTGGCCTACGGCTATTTTCTACTCTTTGGTCGGGTTGTTGTCTCTTTGACACATTCCCCATTTCCATTCTCAATTTTATGATGTCTTTCATGTCAAATTCAAACTGCATTATTTTCCGAAATCGCATCAGAGAATCTCGCAATGAATGCACGCAATAATTCCTACATCTATTATGTATGCAATGATATATTATGCATCTCATCTGCCCTTAATTTTCAAGCAAATTAAGTTTTTCGGGGTTTTTTTTTTACCTCATTACTGTTTGTAGATTATTAAGTAACCATTTTGATGTCTTCTTGATAGCATGTATTATAATTTGTACAAAATGATAACTTGTACACAACATATATATTGTATTATAAATTAAATGTTTACATAACTTTTTATGATTTAATGCATATTAGTATGCACAGTTTAAATATAATGTACACACTATGTACAAACCGGTTTCCTTTTTCACCTGTTAAGTAAGTTTGAAAAAATGTTAATGTTTAGGAATTCCCACTGTAGAAAAATATGTTTTAAGAAAATTTCTGTACAGTTTGTCAATATTTGGATCAAATTAAAATATGTATCTATACTACTACATGTAAACGAAAGATAGTTCTTTAAATGATTCAAACATTAAAATGTTGCATGTATTTATCTGACTTTAAGTAAGCAAATGAAGAAATGTAAACCGGTTTTCACCTCCTACATATATTAAAGACTTGAATGAGCAATCTTTCAAATTCAAATTTTGTAAAAAATATTAAAATTGCCTAGGAATTTACTGAACAACTTATGAATAAAGCCAGTATCCTTAGTGGATACGGTGTAATGATAACATAGGTTCAACCGACCATGCCCAAATTCAGCTCGGGGCGTTGTTGATATAATGCAATAGTCCTTGTATTTATATTGATAACTAAAAGGCTTTGCCAAATTCGAACCGACGGAAAAATTGAAAAGGATGGCGTAATAATGTGTTATATACTAGGGTATAAATTCTATAGGTTTCACGCTGCGAACTTACATTGAACTTATATTTCTCAAATCGTATGTAAACAGAGTTGTACACCTGTAATTATGAATAGGAAGACAATATCATTTACGAAGGACAGTCTTAACGATCTTGTACCTACTAGTAACATGCAATGGGAGGATATACAGAAAAACACATTCACAAACTGGGTAAACGAACAACTGAAAACCAAAGGGATTGTCGTTCGTGATATAAGAAGTGAACTATCTGAACATCTAAGTACATTAGTGGAAGTATTACAAAGACAGCCAATATTGGGTATAACTAACAGGTCGGACAATCAGTATGCACGTTTACAAAATATTACCGTAGCATTGGAGGCTATTACTAGCGATGGCGTGAGGATAGTCAGTATTGGTAAGTAGATGCATAGTGAAATCTTTCTTGTAAATATTTAAATGATATTCAACTTTGAAGCATTTATTTAGTATTTGGCTACAGCAAAGTCATTTTTTTTCAAACCCCAAGCTACTGCAAATATTTACCACATTAATACGAGGCCGCAATGTTGTTATGAATTTAACAAATGTGATGATAATGAATTACATAAAATCCATCAAAATGACGAAATGTTTCGAATTTTAGTTTTGCCATTAAAGTAATAATTCATCGTGTAATAAAGTTCTACAGAGCGATGTTTAGATGCCTTGCTGGTCGCAGGGCAAAGGTTATGTTTAAGCAGTTTCAGCTTTTTCATAATCAAGATTTATTTTTTATATACTGATAGAAAATCTTAAGTGTTGTTTCGATGTATGAAAACTAAATAAATGTACCAAGCGCAGACTAGCGAGAATTAAAAAAAAATGTTGTTGCTTTGTTTAAGCCAGTGGAATAAAAAATAAATTGCTTCATCTTATTTTTTTGCATTTATATTCCTGGTCTCAGAAATAAGTTTTTGGACCGAAAACATGCAAAAAGATGCTGAATTTACACAAAGACAAGAAAGTTTGAAAAAGTATATACAATAGAACAAATTAAGATATTCTTGTCAGTGGAAGACAAATACATGTCAAACATTTAAATTACTTAATAAATAAACGAACCTCTTCCAGTTTAATTGTATACGTCGTAATTATAAGACAAGCCCTTTGGTATCATAAAAACAAGTTTCAAGAAAATCGATTTTGCTTACTAGTATATAGTTTTAAGAATCTTATCTACCCTCATATGTATTATTTGTTTGGATCATGGTTAATTGCCAAATTTAATTCAGACCCAAATAAACAAAACTTCGCATATATTTTTTTCTTAGCATACCAAAAAAGAAATTTAGAAAACATACTCTCTATAAACAATCTACACATTCATACAATTACAAATGAAAGGAGAAGGTACGACGATATGGGGCTAAATTGGCTCTAAAAATCAAATGTATTTCATACAGTCTTTTTATAGTCAAATGTGAATCTATGGATTTCAATATAATATTGGCAGTTTTGTGTAAAATATGCCTTTTCATAGATTATACAGGCATACAATGACAAAATATTAAAGGAAATTACACTATATCAAAAATATTTTACTCGCACATGCTAAGAAATATTAGAAAGCACAATCCTCGCCGCCCACCAAGGTTTTCACACAGGAATAATATTTATTCTATTTAGCACTGGCATCAATTATTGTGGGCAACACTTGTGCTCTGTATAGTGAAAATATTTCTGAAATTGGCCTACTTTTGGTGCTCTCATATTTGACGACATTTCAATTACGTCACAGTCAAATTGTGTCATTACGGCTAAGGTAAAATGTACATGTATTATCCGAGAGACTTTCCCCTGAGGAGTGCTAATACGTAAAATGTGATGAGTAATGTTATTATACTATTTTTATGTGTTATTGATATAACAGGGCGGTCGTATAAGCTCTAAAATGTACCTTATCATGTAACCTCTAATTACTTTTATAAAACTAAGTCAAACGCCAAAAAAGTACTCGGACTAAGATATTCTTATCAAATAATAATAAAATATTTCTGACAACCCAGGCGATGTTTCCTTTACTATTGTTAATTTCCTTTCCTGGGTGGGAATGTACGTTCGAATATAGCAAAGTGCTCTCGACCAATGAAATTTTTGGATTTGATGTCTCTTAATTGTGAAGAATGAATGTAAATCATGTTCTTAGTAAGGGACTATCCTATTATTTGGGTCTATTTACAGTTCAAAACAAAGAGTTTCTATAAATGAGTTACAATTGCCCCGAAGCACATTTATCAGATTGAAAGGATTTATCACAGTAATTGAAACTGACTAAAAGTTGAATTGCAAAACAAACAAAAAAATCAAAATAAGTTGAAGTTTACTGGTGCCTTGTGCAGTAAATTTGGTTCCCTTAATGTTGTTATGAAAATATTAACAACTTCAAATTACTAAAAATATAAACAATATCAAAACAATGCCAAAGCAATGCCAAAAAGAAAATAAATAAATACAAAATAACCTAAATCTTTATCTTTCTAAAAACTCTGATTACTGAACCAGCAGTTGGGAAAAATAGTTATTTCCAACATGCCAATAAAATAAAAAAAAAACAGGAATTTGATTTAAGCTTTGAATATATTTAATAGATATAAGAAGGTGTGGTATGAGTGCCAATGAGACAACTCTCCATCCAAGTCACAATTTGTAAAAGTAAACCATTGTATGTCTAAGTACGGCCTTCAACACGGAGCCTTGGCTCACACCGAACAGTAAGCTATAAAGGGCCCCAAAATGACTAGTGTAAACCATTCAAACAGGAAAACCAACGGTCTAATCTATATAAAAAACGAGAAACGAGAAACACTTATGAACCACATCAACAAACGACAACCACTGAACATCAGGTTCCTGACTTAGGACAGGTGCAAACAAATTTAGCGGGTTTAAAAGTTTTAATAGGCGCCAACCTTCACCCTTACCTGAAACAATAGTGTAACATCACAACATAGAAAGACACACTATAAAATACCAATTGAAATGGCTTAACTCAATCAAAAGACATATGAACGTACACTGAACGATTAATTTGATCTATGACACAAAACTTTTAAAGGCATTGTATTAGAACATTTCCCTGATATAATGAAATTGTATTTGATTTAAAAAGCCGGACCAAAATATTGGCTGTGAAATAAAATTAGTTGTAACTCAAATGTATTTATTGATTTAAACTGTAAATAAAAAAAAGGATAATTCCTCAGTAAAATATTACATGATTTACATTCATAATTTCATACTCACAATCAGGAATCATATACAATTCCTACATTTTCTTTGTACTGTTGTGTCACCTAATGTCTATAACGCATTTTTTTTTTAATTATTTCCCTAGTTTTAAGAAAGTCTTTACATCACTAAAACTAACCCATAAATGAAATGTTGTAATTATAAACATTTAAAATTTACACTGACAATGAAACTAATTCGTGAATACAACCAACCAAGAGATCATTTGAGCCTTGAGCACTTTACAATATTCAAATAAAATTGAGAATGGAAATGGGGAATGTGTCAAAGAGACAACAACCCGACCACAGAACAGACAACAGCAGAAGGCCACCAACAGGTCTTCAGTGCAGCGAGAAATTCCCGCACCCGGAGGCGTCCTTCAGCTGGCCCCTAAACAAATATATATACTAGTTCAGTGATAATGAACGCCATACTAAACTCCAAATTGTACACAAGAAACTAAAATTAAAAATAATACAAGACTAACAAAGGCTAGAGGCTCCTGACTTGGGACAGGCGCAAAAATGCGGCGGTGTTAAACATGTTTATGAGATCTCAACCCTCCCCCTATACCTCTAGCCAATGTAGAAAAGTAAACGCATAACAATACGCACATTAAAATTCAGTTCAAGAGAAGTCCGAGTCTGATGTCAGAAGATGTAACCAAAGAAAATAAACAAAATGACAATAATACATAAATAACAACAGACTACTAGCAGTTAATTGACATGCCAGCTCCAGACTTCAATTAAACTGATTGAAAGATTATGTCTTCATCATATGAATATCAGGCACAATCCTTCCCGTTAGGGGTTTAGTATCATACCATCATAACATATATGAGAAGAACATAACCCGTGTCATGCCAACAACTGGTTTTTAAATAAATGTGTTTAGTGCCGATGCAAAGACCCTATAAGTGAATCAATATTAACGCCAAAATATGCAATCTTTAATGACCTGACAACAGTATCGTAACTATATCCCTTCTTAATAAGTCTATTTAAAGGTTTTGTTAGTTTCAGAGGTGAATACTGACAGTTTGTAAGAGAATGATAATCCCTTACTTCCTGGTAAGTACTCGCTAACGCTCGTACTTAATCATGAAGAAAGGGATTATCATTCTCTTACATATACATAGTGTATGTTTCTCAATTGGTTAAATATACACGTGTTTGGAATGAAATCGCAGATTAAATTGATCACAAAAAATGTTAAAAACAGTGATTAAGATTCAATAAATTGGTCAACACTTTTTCTTTAACTATTTCGCATGTATCGTCAGATCATATGTGTTCGTACGTCATATGAATTCGTACTATGCATAATGTTTCAATGGAAATTGTGACGTCACAAAGCATTCTAAATAGCACGAGAACCATATATGTTTTCCTTTATTGACCTTTATTGTCTATACGGAATAAATTGGGAAGGATTGAGTTCTTACAAGCTAGTCAAACTTATTGTCTATACGGATCGAATTGGGAAGGATTGAGTTCTTAAAAGTTAGTCAAACTTCGTTAAATATCTAGGAACCCCGGACATGTCTATGTTACGTTATACCTAAATGTTTTTGTTGAATTATTTTGGGATTTTTATTTCTTTTTTCTATTTATTTGTATTTTCTTGGCGTTTTTTTTTTTTTCGGAAGTAGGGGGGGGGGCGTTTTTTTTTTGTTTAAATTGGTTGTTTTGGGGTTTTTTGTTTTGTCTTCCATTGTTCGTATGATGTTTTATTTTTGTGAACTTGATGTTGACTGTAGATATGATAGTACCTGCTATTAATGAACAATTCTATATTGTCCTAAATGACCCTTTTTTTTTGTCGTTTATTTGTCGTCTCGTTGATGTTTAACCCTTATCTTCTTTTATTTATAAAATAATATAGAATTGAGCTGTAACAATTTATAACCATTGTAGATTTCTATTAGTTTTTATGCTATCTCTTACATATTTTCCGTACCATTAATTTGTTGTTCTTTTAGATAAAGATATATGTACAAAAACGTGAAAAGATCCGCTACCTTGACATTTCATTTATATATGCTTGTGTAAATGATAGTTATTTGTTAGAAATCCTATATGCAATACCTTTTGACAATTTTCTCCCCAATAAAGACACGAATATTATGATAATACATGCTTT